ATTTACCTAGTTCCCATCCAACCTTCCAAACTATGGCATCTCTGGCCTGACCAAAGCTGTCTCTGGTGGCAGTTCCTTTTTTTTTTTTTTTTTTTGGGTGGACCTGGGGATTGAACTCAGGCCCTTGTGCCTGCCAGGGAAGCACTTATTCTACTAAGCCATCTCCCTGGCCCCAGGTGGCAGTTCCTCTACAACACTGATCATAATGTGGCCCTGAGCTGTGGGTGCTACTTGGAGCAGCAGGGATGACTGCCCAGCAGAAGTCACTCACAGATGTGGAGGAGGAGGAGGGGAGGCGGGGCAGAATTAAAGAACAAGGGAAGACTATGCCTGTGAGTCTAAGCCTGGGTTCTACCAGCTGGGTGCCCTGGGTAGCGCATTTAGGCTGGGGATGACTAGGGGAAAATCCTGGCTCCAGTTATGGATACCAAGTGTGAACCTCCAGCACTGATTTAGCCTCCCTGAGTACGGAAAAGAAGGTTAGTAGTATCTGCCTTGTGGGTGAGGACAGAATTGCATCTGGGCAGCGCAGCACCAGGAGGGTGGGCTGCAGTGTGGTGCACAGTGGTGTGGGGGCAGCTGACCAGAAAAGGCAGTGTTTGCGCTGAGTACCCAGCACAGCCCTGGGCCAAGGGCAGTGAAGGCAGCCAGATGCACAGGCAAAGGGTACATAAATCCGAGTAAGTGGGAAAATCCTCAAAAGGCCAAATAGGAGCTGGATATGGTAGTGCTGGCCCATAATCCCAGCACTCTGGGAGGCTGGGGCAAGAGGGTTCCACAAGTTCAAGTCCAGCCTGAGCTACCTGTGAAGATCCTGTCTTAAAACAAAAACAAAAAGAAAGAGCTGGGGAGACAGCTTGGTGGTTTAAGCACCTGCCTGGCAAGTGGAAGGACCCTGGTTCAATTCCGGGTACAGCACGCCGTGCCACATCAGCCACTGAAACTGAGTGTGGTGGCTCATGCCTGCAATCCCAGAGCTGGGGAGGCTGAGATAGTAGGATCGCTATGAGTCTGAGCTGAGTATTGAGACCCTGTACCACATACATAAAAAAATAAAGTATTTTTTAAAAAAGTCTTAGCTGTTGTGGGGGGAGAACTCAGCAAAAAAGAAACAAAAAACAAAAAAACCAACCAAACAAAAAAACAAACCCTTGAAAACCTCCTGCTGTTCTCTGCAATGACTGAATTCAGGTCCTTTCTCAGGGCTGGAGCCATCTGCTATGTGCTTGTGAACTGACTGGGGAGTCTGACAGGAGGTCACAGAAGAGCCTACACAGAGACAGGAAGGCCAGGAGGGTGTCTCACTTTCCTTACCAGGAAAATAAGGAGTCAGTAATAAGTTCTGTTCTAGCTTTCCCTGCACAGCCCCAGGAATCAGGCACTCTTTTTTTTTTTTTTTTTTTGTGGAACCGGGGATTGAACTCAGGCCCTTGCGCTTAGGAAAGCACTTATTCCACTGAGCCATCTCCCCGGCCCTGATCAGGCACTCTTGCAAGAGCAGGAAAAACGTTCAGGGAATCAGCTTCCAGAATCCCATGGCTTCAGGTGTCCCAGGCCTGGCACTCTAAATTTCTGCGCAGCCTACTGAGCCCTCCAAGGCCTCCATCCCCTTCCTGAACGTGGGTTGTGTAAACACAGCTACTCTTACTGCAGTCTCCAGGCCCAAGGAGGCAAGACAGAGCCTGGCACACAGCAAGCAGATGCTCCTGCAGCCCAGCCAGTACTCTCAGGCTCCTAAGCATCACAGCACCAGCTGAGTGAAGACAAGTGTAATAGGGTCTGGCCAAATAGCTCAGCAGACTAAAGCCCCTGCTTAGGCAGACGCTGGAGCTGGTGTTTCAACCCCAGCCTGCCGTGCCAGCACACCCCCTGCGCGCGCTGAGCCTGTCGATGGAGACTGGGCGAGGCAGCATGAGCCTGTAATCCCAGCTCTTTGGGAGGTTGAAAACAGGAGGATCATTTGAGTCCGATCTATGTAGTGAGATCCCGTAGACCCTGTCCTAAGTACAAAAAAAAAAATCCCAAAAAACAAAAAAACCACCCAGTTGTAATAGGTTGTACCCAATATTTAAAAATGTTATTTTTATTTATTTACCTATCAGTTTTTATTGATAAAAATTTATGTTAAGATAAGATCTCATTAAGTTGCTAACTTGCCCAGTGGGCTCGGACCTTTGATTCTCCTGTCTCAGCCTCCCGAGTGCTGGGATTACAGCTATGTGCTTGCAAATACAGCATTTGCGCAATAAAACAACCTGGTCAGTGACTAATTAAATATGTCTCAAGATCATGACTACAGGATTTCTAAGCTTTGTCCCCTTTGGTATTAAAATATTTAAAAACAGGGGCCGGGGAGATAGCTCAGTAGAATAAGCGCTTGCCTGACAAGCTCAAGGCCCTGAGTTCAATCCGCGGTACCGCAAAAATAAAACACAAAAAAGAAAAAAGAAAGAAAAATAAAGAGGTAATCTCCAAACTCTCCTCTCAAAGTAGTTTCTTTTTTTAAATTATTATTATTTATTTATGTGTGTGTGGCCAGCTCAGCCCACCAGGGGGCGGGGCTGGCTGGCATGTGGTGCTGGGGGATTGAACCATGGTCCCTGTGCTTTGCTAAGCTTGTTCCAAGTAGGTGCTTTAGACCACTGAGCCATCTCACCAGCCCTCAAAGTAGTTTCAAATCCCTTTCCCAAGGACTCACTTCAAACTCACTCAGCTCAGCCCACGGGGATCTGGGCGACTGGTCCTCCCCTTACCAATAGCAAATTCTACCAGGCTCTCATTCTCTTCCGACAGCGAATCGAGGAATAAATCCAGGACTTGCAGTTGCCGCAGATACTGGTAGTTGCTGGGGTCATAGGCGAAGTTGGCAAGGTTGGCGAGGACTTGCTCCTTGGCATCTGCAATGGGAAAGGGCACTGGAGCCGGGTCCGGGCGGTGGTCGCGGCCGGGCTCCCGCGCGGTCCCCCGGCGTCCACCCTGCGCCCTGCACCTTGGCTCTCAGTCTCCTGGAACTCGGTGACCAGCGCCTGCAGGTACCCGAGCCGTCCGACGTGAGGCTCCACCTTCTGTTTCTGGGCCATGGTCGGGTGGAGCGAGAAGGGGAGGCGCGACAGCAGGGCACGAACCTCACCCGGCCCTCCACCCGACGCAGCAAGGACGGACCCGGGGGTAAATGGGTTTAGACCGTAGTAAGGCGCAGCTGGAAATGGGCTGTGGGAACAGGGCTGGAGAGCTTTAGGATCTTCTAAGAGCTGGGTTTGAAAATCAAAACTGAGTCACAGGAGATACTCTAGCGGCTTTGCGGGGGAAGGCGAAACCACGGAGGAGGGCGGCCAGCCAGCCAGTCTTCGCGGATCTGCGCTGGGCTCAGCGGAAGCCGCGCTGGCCCCGCCCCTAAGAAGCGGAAGGGGCGGGGCTAAGTGGGCGGGGCGGAAGGGCTGCCTCTGAGCTTCTCGGTGCGCGTGCGTGGCGCGCATGCGTGGCGCGCCTGCCGCCCCAACCTTCGGCCCTGCGCACAACGAAGGCGGACGGTAGAGGGCCTCCGGAGCGCAGAAGAGTCCAGTGGCGCTCATAGAGAGGAGCCCCGGGCACAGAAGCGCCTAGTGGCGTTGGAGGGCTGCAGCCTGGCCTCCTAGACCCTCTGGTAGCGCCTCAGCTCGTAGAGGCACATGTGCCTTGTGCTTTTTCATCGGAAGAGTTGGAAAGAAGCCCCTGGGTACAGGAACAAAGCTTTTGTTCTTATGCTTGGGCACAAGGTGGAAAGCCGTGGAGGGCAGGCAGACCCAAAGGACAAAGATGAGACAGGGCCTCGCTGTCTCAAAAAGCCTGGTTGTACAGCCTCCTTGTCGTTCAGGCTGGCCTTGAGCTCATTGTGTAGCTCATGCAAGCCTCCAACTCATGGCAATCCTCCTACCTTAGCCTCCTGAGTGCTGGGATTACAGCTGTGCACCACCATGCCAAGCTTACGCAAAATCTTTTTAGTAAGATGAAGTTGTTAAGTCCTGGGTGATTGGGGTTTTATTCATGAAGTCTTTGCCTACACCAGTGTCTTCAAGAGGTCTACCTAGTCTATCTTCTAGCAGATTTAGTGTTTCTGTTTTAGATCTTTGATTTTTTTTTTTTTTTTCGGTACTGGGGGTTGAATTTAGGACCCTGCACTTACCAGGCAAGCACTTATTCTACTGAGCTATCTCCCCCCCCCCCCGAACCGGGGATTGAACTCAGGCCCTTGTGTTTGCCAGGGAAGCACTTATTCCACTGAGCCATCTTCCCGGCCCAAAATGTTTTCTCTCTTTGTTTCTTTTTTCTTTTTTCTTTTCTTTCTTTTTTTTTTTTTTTTGCAGTACCAGGGATCAAACTCAGGACGTTGCACTTGCCAGGCAGGTGCTTATGCCACTGAGCTATATCCCTAGCCCCTCTTCCAATTTTCTGCAGGGTTTTAATCATAAATGGTCAGGATTTTTGTTGAATTCTTTTTCTGCGTTTTTGTTTTTATTTTAATACAGGATCTACAGGGTCTCACTACCTAGATTGTACTCAGTGATCCACCTGTGTTCAGCCTCCTAAGAGCTAGGATTACAGGTGCGTGCCACCATGCCCAGTCTCAATTACCTCTCAGCATGCCCCGGGGATGGGGCTGGCACAGCATGCCAGGGATTGAACCCTAACAACTGCATTTACCTAAGCAGGCTTTCTGCATCTATTGAGGTGCTCATGTGAATTTTGTCATTGGCTCTGTTGATGTGGTACATTACATTTATTGATTTGCCTAGGTTGAACCATCCCTGCATCCCTAGCATGAGTCTCACTTGGTCATGGTGTATAATCAGTCATCTTGATAATTTGCTGAATTCTGTTTGCCAGTGAGAATTTTGAGGATTGAAAATTCTTATTGAGGATTTTTGCATCTATGTTCATTAGGGAATGTCTTGGTTACTTTTCTTTCATTGCTGAGAGACAAAATACCTGACACCTACAATTAAGGAAGAAAAGATTCATTTAGCTCACAGTTTGTGGAGGTTTCAGTCCATACTTGGCTGGCTCCAAGGCAGAGTGACACATGGGAGAGGGCAGCCGTTCATGGTGGCACAAAACAGCAAAACAGCAAGAGCAAGAAGGCAGGAGCAGAAGTAGCCCCAGAGAGCAAGCCTCTCTCTCTCTCTCTCTCTTCCTTGTATTGCATGCGGTCTGTCCACTTCAGGGCTGGTGTAACACTCAAACCCATAGTCCCAACATTGGATCATTAATTAATCAACTCTAGAAGCCCTCAGCCTCATCACTGCTTGAAGCTGTGGAAGGAACAACTAGACACAAATCATAACAGGGAGATGGCCTGTGGTTTTCTTTTTTGGTTGGATCCTTCATTGTTTTTAGTATCAGTGTGAGCCAACTGATTGTTCAAGCTTATCCTTCTTCTTTTTTTTTCTTTTTGTTTTTTGGTGGAACCAGGGATTGAACTCAGCCTCTTGCACTCGCCAGGGAAGTGCTCATTCTGCTGAGCCGTCTCCCCGGCCCCTCTTTTAGTATCAGTGTAATGCTTGCTTCCAGGAATGAATTTGGGAGTGTGTATTGTTTCCTTTCAATTCCATTAAAGAATTTGAGAAGTAATGGCATTAGGTTGTCTCTAAATTTGTGGTACAATTCAGCAGTGACTCAGTCAGAGCCTGAGCTCTGTGGTCTACTTTTTCATGTCTTTTTGAGATAGAGTCTTGCTATATACAGTTCAGACTGGTTTTCAACTCACTATGTGGCCCAGGCTGGCCTCAGACTTGTAGAAATCCTCTTGCCTCAGTCTCCCCAAGGCTGGGATTGCAGGCATGTGCTACCATACCTGGTGTGCTCCACTTTTTAACTCAAGTTTCCAATATTGCTTTTCCAAAAAGTTGAGTGATCCTGACACTTCACTCCAACCCTGAACTAAACCTCCTTTCTCTGGCCAGATACCACAGGGACAGAGTCATTTATAAGGCTCTTTGTCAGCTATTCAGGCCAGAAGCATGGAAACACTTCACTTCATCCAGTAGCCAGTGGCTTTCTGGGCTGTTGGACCTGGGATGCTGAAGGTCTTTGGCCTGAGTCCTTGTGTCAGGGCTTTTCAGGAAGGTGGTATGTGACCAATAGCTCATGATTGTAGGGAACCTGGAAGGGAGGTAAGCTTGCCATGTTTGCATCATGCTTGAAAATGTAGGGGTACTGGCCGCTGGCTGCAGGTGTGTTTGTCCTTCCTGGTTTGGCTCATTGGTGTTATGAAGAAATGGTAATAATGGGGCCGGGGAGATGCCACAGTAGAATAAGCACTTCCCTGGCAAGTGCAAGGACCTGAGTTCACTCCCCAGTTCCACCAAAAAAAAAAAAAAAAAAAAAAAAAAAAAAATGTAGGGGTAGATGCGGGTTAAGCTGTGAGCTCTCTGAGGACAAGGATCATGTAGCTGTGCTCTGGACCTGGATTAAGGGCCTGGGTCAGGGAATGGGAGCCCCTGCTTCTGAGGTTCGGGTCCCTGTGGCCATCTGGGTCCCAGTGCACAGCTGGGGCAGGAGTTTTGAGTACTGAGGTACCCTGGCTGCTCATTGTGAGTCTCAGACCCTTTGGCAACTGTGGCTGGCCTGTGTGGGCCTGGGGAAGTGTCTCAGTTCAGGGTGGCCAAGGGTCTTCTCTGCCTTTCCACGGACAGTCACCCTTCTCCCACATGAATGGCCCCAGGCCCTGTCTAGAAGATTCTCAGGGAATCAGCGAAATGTGGTTCTGGAATCAGATGGGCCATTCCAGTCTCCCTCATTGGTGTCAGATCTGATCCTAAGGCCTCAAGGCGCCCTCCTCCTTGAGGAAAAATTCTTAGTCTTGGTTTTGTGTTGAGGACAGTGACAAGCAATATTGCTTTCTGAACAGTCTGAGACACTCAGTAGATGCTCAATAAATACTGGTTGAGGAATTCTGCCTGGAGATTTTTCCTTTTTGCCCAGAGATTGTTGCCCATTTTGCTTGGAGGAAAATGAGGTCAAGATTCCCTATGTTTAAGGTTCATCAGTATCTTTGCTCCTTTTTTAAAGAAAATGTATTTGGGGGGCCAGGGAGATGGCTCAGTAGAATAAGCGCATGCCTGGCAAGCACAAGGGCCTGAGTTCAATCCCCGGTTCCACAAAAAAAAAAAAAAAAAGTATTTGTACAGGGTCTCACTATGCAGCTCACAGCTTGCAGCTTGGGGTGTGGGAAGCATGGCCTATGGTGCCAGGGATTGAACCCTGGTCTCTGTGCTTGCTTAAGCAGGCATTTAGTCTGCTAAGCTGTTTTGCCAGCCTTATCTTTGTTCCTTTTTTTTTTTTTTTTTTTTTTTTTGCGGAACCAGGGATTGAACTCAGGCCCTTGCACTTGCCAGCGAAGCGGTTATTCCACTGAGCCATCTCCCTGGCCCCCTATCTTTGTTCCTTGAATGCTTTCTGGAGACACAACATCTCAAAGCCTGATGGATACCAGCACCTCAAGTACCTGCCTATTAGCCTCAACCTCCTCCTTTGCCATTTAGCTGAGATGGAAAAACTGTGTCCCAGCACTGTTCCTTCAGAACCCTTGCTGGCGTTGGAAGCTGAGTTCAGGACTGGGTGGGCAGCTGAAAGGCCCTGGGGATCTTAGGGACACTGACAGGGTCAGACTCTGGTTTTTCTTTTGTATGGAGACCTGGTCTCACTAGGTAGCCTGGGCTGGTCATGAATTCTCAACTCTCCCACTCAGCCTCCTTAGCACAAGTATTACAGCTGTGTGCCAGCACGCCCAGCTCATACTTTTCAGATTGGCAGTGAATTTAGCTCATCCAGACTGACTATAATTTTCAAGGCCTAGAGATGGCAAAGAGTTTGCCCAGAGCCATGCAGAGTTTTGTCAGTGAAATGCAGGACCAGGGTCCAGAGCCTTCTTCTGCCTGCTGCACTACCCCTTTTGGTCATCAGGGGGCACTGTGGCAGGGCCCTGGAGGAGGAAGGACAGCCCAAGGATGCTTAATGCCAGATGGGGAGGAGGCAGACTTGGTGGTCAGGTGATGAAAATAAAGTAATTTCTCCCTGTAAGATTTTCTTGCTGGAGCCTGGCTGAGCCTGGCTGAATCTGAATCGGCAAACAAGGCCTGAGGCTGAGCAGCACCAGCCAAACCGTAAAGGGAAGGGAGGAAACTTACTCTAAGCTTGTTTTCCAGTTTATTAGTTCAGAGTTTATGATCTACTGCAGGGAATGCTTTTTGTGTATAATTTAAACAAACTGCTTTCGCATTTCCTGTGTACCTTTCTGGGACAAGCCTGGGTCATATCCAGGCCTGGTGTGACTTCAGGGAGGCACAAGCCAAGAGCGTGTGTGAGGGGATAGCTGTGGCTTTTAGGCAAAGGCACAGGCCCAGCCAGCTACTGTTGTCAGCTGACACTCTTTTTTCTTTCAATTTTGAGACAGAGACTACTTTGTAGTTCATGTTTGTCTTGAACTCATTATGTTGCCTAGACTGGCCTTAAACTCAGTGATCCTCCTGCCTCAGCCTCCCAAGTGTTGCGAATTTAGAGTTGACATTTATGACACAGTGGGGGAGAAGGCCTCAGGAGGCCAGGAGGGGTCACGGGGCTTCTGTTGCAAATGCAGTCCTGTTTTCAACACAGTGCTTGGGCTGCTTAGCAACCCTTCCCCTTCTCTGATCAGTGAAACATCTGGCTTCCATGGGCTCCATCACTAAACCTCCCCACCAAGGAGATAGTGGAATACAGAGAAAAGAGCCACGAGCAGACTCTGCTGAGGTACCAGGGGACACCTCAGACTTCCCAGACTTGGGAACCCATTCAAGGACTCCCTTTCTGCTGTCTGTACAGGAACAAGTACAGGCAGGTGATCCACCTGGCCTTCACTCTGCCCCGATCTGGCATCCAGGCCAACTTCCTGGCCTGCCCTTCCACTGCTGCCTCTCCCAAGGTTCCAGTCAGTGTGAGATCCAGCCACTTGTGTGCCACATTGTCCTTTGGTTCAAGGCTGATTGCTTGTACCCCTGGAGGAAGTGTCTTGAGGCCACAGAAAGACAAGGACAGCTGACATTGGAGGACCGCAGATTGGGTGAGAAGGTCCGGTGTGCTGGGGCATGAGAGCTGCAGTAAGCCACCCACCAAGCTGCTCTTGTCATGGCTGCCCTTGTCAGGACTCAGAGTCACCTTCCCTGGAGCCAAGGGAGAAAGCCAGCAAGGCCTGCTCCTGGAGTTGGCTGGCTGGAAGGAATGTCACTCCCTGAGCAGACCTCAGACACTGGTCACGATCTCAGGGGGTGGCTGCTCCTTGGAACTGTCCTTCCCTTCTTGGGATTCAGGCCCCTGAATCAGGCTAGTCTCTGAGATGGTTTCTACTGCCTTGAGTTGTGTGCCTTTCTCTTCCTTCTTCTTCACGTAATAGAAGCCTCCAGTCATGAAGAGTCCAGCTGAGGTGAGGAAGAAGGCTGACAGGTAGAAAACGTAGGAGAAGTTGCCAGTGGTGTCCAGGACCAAGCCTAGGGGACAGAGAGCAGGTTAGGTCATTGCCCAGAACCGCCTACCAAGCTTCCTCCTCCTCCTCCTCTTCCTGTTCCTCCTCCTCCTCCTCCTCCTCCTCCTCCTCCTCCTCCT